ACATGCTGGCAGTTTTAACAAATATTTAAAAACCCAATTTTTTTGTAAAAGTTACATACTGTAGCTTTAAAGCAAAAAAGAAATCAAATTGACCAATAATACCCAACTATGCCAGCTAAAATGACATAATAAATAATTAAAGCATCTGATGGAATCATTTCTGATTAAACCGAAGTTACAGGATCACGATTTTGCACATCATCAGCCACTGAGTACAGAAACAGATTTGATGTTGCTGAAATGTGGTACTAAAGTAAACTTGAATGATTGATTGATTTGCTTGGGAACAAAAAAGACGTCAAAGTTTATTATATTTAAAATGGCATTAGTTTTGAATTCTTTTTTTGTAATTAAATCTGGCTTTGCACAAATAAAGTTATGCAGTACATTAGAGCTATACAGTGAACAAACTGTTTTATTTTTCTTTCTCTGAGTTACATTTTGGAAATTGCAAATTGAACCACACATTTAAAAAAAAGTTAAACACTGACAATTTTCCAGGCTGAAACTTTCTGAAGTGATGCTTCAATAAACAGACCATAAAAAGTTTTAGCTGTCATGACAGATGACCAATTCGGTCTCCATGTTCAGTTCAAACCTTGCGCTGGCAAATAACCACCTGACTCAGGAAGCAAACAGGAACACTAACACAATCTACGTCTAGAAATTAACTAATGCTGTCTAAACACGTCTTTGCTACGCCAAATACAAATACAAAGACTCAGTTAATAGAAGGAGTCACAAAAAGTGCTTTATGATGTTACCACATGTGGGAATTTTCTCATGTACATCCTATTTGGGTCTTATACTCTGGATTCCCAAGACTTTACTGCATCATGTGTAAACAAAGACGATCACAGGCTGCTTGTAAATGAGCATCTGCTTGAATGCTGAATCCGGTAATAACCATGTGAAGACAGAAGGTGTTCATGACAATCTGATATGAGCAGTCTTTAAAAACTCCAACGAAGTCTGAAGAGGCATTTGAGAGGTGAGGAGGCTCATGATGCTGTCGGTTCTGGTTCTGCTCCTCAGCGCCTTTAGTCCTGCTTTGGCCTGGATAGTAAGTAGTCTTTATTTATATGATGTCTTCATGGCATAATTTGTGGTTATTCTAAGAAATGTAAATTTGAAATTCATTTGTAGCCAGTGCAAGACTGGGAGTCTGGAAACGTGACGACTTCTGTGGATTCGTCTGGCCAGTGCGTCTGCCATGTTTTCCTCCCTGACACCACCTTCCCCGCAGACCGCGTCGAGCACATGCAGCAAGTCAGCAAAGATCTGATCCTGGAGGTGGAAATCCAGAAGAATAAGGTGTGGTTAGGGAATAGCATGAAGAATAAAAACTAGAAACGTGCAATACGATTAAATCATATCATAGCCACTCTTGTCTTTTTCAGATGGTGAAGTACTTGGGCAAACTGGTGATATATCTTGAAGATCTGAAGCAACTGGAGGCAAGATTGACCATCCTGGAAAGCAGTCCTGATGATTACATCAAGCTGGACTTTGAGATGCTCAGGATTGAACTCAGAGAGTTTGAGGCGCTGGTGTCTCAGCTCAAAGACTCCCTCAACTCTTCTTCACCCCTGTTCAACAGTCTGTACACTGAGGTAAAACACAAATTGGAAACATCTTCTTAGATTCTCACAATACGTAGATATTGTGTCCTTTAACATCTTACAAATAAAATCTACAAAAGGATTGGACGTTGGATTGCAACCAGCAACCCTTGTATTGAAATACTCCTCTCAAGACCTGACACCCTTTGGTAGAGTTCCTTCCCACATGTAGTTGTCGTTTTATTCTTGTTCTGTCTTCAGATCCACAACATGACGCTCCTTGTGAACCAGCTGGAGACTTACGACAAGAGCAACCTGGAGGTGATCCGACATCAGTTTGCCAAGCTGCAGATGAAACTAGAGGAGTGTCAGAAGGACCAAGATATAATCAAACCAGATATCGGTAAGAGTTCTGCCTAACATGATCAATAACAATTTGCACTTCAACAGATAAAAATGCATATTTGTAAATAACATCATTATTGATTCAGAAAAGTCCATCATATTGCTGTTATTATATATCGAGAAATATTTTAACCTCTCATTTCCGTTAGTTTTGACAGTTATTGCTTGCAGCTTATGAAAAGTTTCAGTTCCTTAGAAAATTAAAACATTATCTAAACATTATCATACTTTAAGATCAAATAATGATCATAAAGTATGATCATTATCTGATCATACTTATCTAAAGTACGATCAAATTAAAAATCATTTTTAACGCAGTGTCCAGCAGGAGAGAACGAGATAAAGGTCATTGCTGAGGAGGCTGGCAGTTCTCATAGTGTAGATTCAAAGTTTATTAAGTTGAGTGGAAGGAAAAACTGTGTGTGAAAAAGTTTACAAACAGCAGGGACGATTACAGGCTCCTTTCAAAGCAACAATCTTTATGCCTCATCATTGTCCCTTCCATGCCATGGCACAGGAAGCAGGATTTCATCTAATAGACACTCATTAATGAAAGAGTTTCTCTTGCATGTCCTGCATTTTTCAGTAAAGCAATTCTGTTAAAAACCCCATTCATAGTGGTTCTACTTGAAATTTAAATATTCTTAGAATCGTTTTTTTTTTTGTTTTTTTTTTGTTGTTTTTTTTTACTGCAACAGTAATGATCAAATAAAACACTACTTGAATTTCTGAAATAAGCTTTTTTTTATATATTCTAATTTACTGAGATGGAGCAGCATTGCCAACATCCTTTTTTTTTTCTTTTGTTTTTTTTCAGGAAACTGCAATCACACGGGAATCTTAAGCTTCAGCAATCCATTGGTGGTGCAGTTCAATGGTCATCTCAGTTCAAGTTATGTGTACGGTGGCTGGGGGAAAGACTCCAAGCCCATCCGAGGTTATGAGAACTTGCACTTCTACGGCGCGTACACCAGTCCTGGAGGTGTCTACGACTTTTACTTTTACACCAACTATGAAAATCTGCTCCTGAGGAAGAACTTCAAACACGTCGACCTTCCAACTGAATGGGTGGGTGTTGGCAACAATTACATAGTGCACAGTAATTCCATTTATTACCAGCACAACTCCCCATTCAGCATGACCAAATTTAACCTGACCTCTTCCAAGTATGACTACAGAGTGATTTCTGACGCAAGCGCAAGTTTCTCTTATGCTTACTCGGGCAGTCAGAACCTGGACTTTGCAGCCGATGAAACAGGCTTGTGGGTAATATATGCTTCGGATGAGAACAAGGGGAAAATCGTCATTGCTAAAATTGATGAAAAGTCTTTTGGCATTGAGAATACGTGGCATACTGGTGTGTACAAACAGTCTGCTGGCAATGCTTTCATGGTCTGTGGAGTAATGTATGCCACCAGGACAGTAGATATCAACACTGAGGAGATCTTCTATGCTTACGACACCAAGACCAAGCAGGAGAGAAACCTCAGCATCCAATTCAAGAAGTTCCAGGAGTCATACAGCAACCTGGACTACAACCCCTCTGATCAGAAGCTCTACATGTACAACAATGGCTATTATGTGTCGTACAATGTGAAATTTAACAAAGAGTGATTCAGCATGGGTTCGATCCTCGTATTGTGATTGATCCGAGTGATCTGCAGCCACTTTTAGTCCTTAGATCTCTTTAAACCTTTATAGATTTTCCCCTGCCATTTCCTGAATAAATCAAACTGAAGCATTCACATTTTGTCAGCTGTGTTCTGTATGTTACATTTGTCATCTGCTGCATGGGAAAGGTGACCCATTTAGGATTTTTTACAACTGCACAAATCCAGAATTAGTCAATTGTTTTCTTTAGATTTAACTGAAATTAAAACAAAATTAGAAAATTTATATTTGCACTCTGCTAAAGATAATTTATTTTTTTTAAGGGAAATTAAACAAAAACAGTAACCGCAATTTTATTAGAAGTTTCAAATGAAAGATTAGAGATTAAACATTACTTCAAATCGATTGGTTAATAAATCTAATAACAATGTATTAAATGTGCATATGACCAAAAAATGGCTTTTTGAATGGAGAGTACAAGCTCATCTGTGATACACTGATGAAAATTAAATATAAGAGGCCTCAAATTCCTCATCATTTACACATTAAAAACACAAATCAAGATGCAATTCTTGCTTTTCTTGCTTCCCTTCACATTAAACTACTAGATAAAGACTTTTTTTTAATGTGCAAAATGTGGTTGGTGAGATGAAACCAACCACATTTTGGTTGGTTTCATATGTTTTTTGGCATAAAACATGCCACAGATAATATTGTAACTATTTAGAACCAAAACGCATGACACATGATAATCAAATCAGAGGTGCCCCATGAAACAGTCTCCAACTAATGTGATGAACACATTGAAAAATATCTCTCTTGCTGATAATATGCTGTGGTTGTTGTTTCTCAAGTAAATTTAGACGTGACAAATGTCTGTTTTTATTCTAATTAGAGGGAAAAGTCTTCATATGACACAAAAACAGTCGCTGAAGGATTCATTTGAGCTCGAGCATCCTTGTATTCTTGTGGCTAAGGTTGCAGGATCAGATTTCAGTCATGCTGCTGTGCCTAACCCCCTTCTGTAAACCTGCCTTCCCCTAGGATGCATGCGTGGTTGGGGGTGACTCCTCTTTGTGCTGTTAGTTGGAGCCTGACTCCCTCTGGTACTGAGCACCGATGCTTATATTTAAGTAGGATAGGGGGGTGGAGTAAATCCCAAAGTCCACAGCAGAGAAAAGCCAAACATGGTAACTATTATTTCAAGTTAGCAGTGGGATTATAGGGTGAACACTGAACTCCATTGTTACAATAAATCAGAGCTGAAATGGCCTCTTCGGGTCTACACACTCAAAGCAGCGCTGTCTCTTTAAATCTTTCACCATCTATGAAGAGGAGTGGGGAGAAGCGAGTGCCTTGTGTGAAATGGTACCCTTAAATGACATCATGCTCAGCCAATCAGCAGCCTCGTCTGAGCTCCCTCCTCCTCTCCTGCTCAGCAGGATGAGTATGTTCCTACTGCTGATGATCCGGGTCGCTTCTGGTGCTGATGCTGCTGTTGGGTCTCAGAGTCCAGGCCATGCTTACACTACAGTAGGTACAGTTTGTCTTATAACTGCATGCACACGTGTCTTCTGTTGTTTTAGTGTAATTATGGATGATGATACATTGCTAGCTCACTGGCTGTTAAAGTCCATGTTGAAGGGATGATGGATACTGATGGAGGACACTTAAAATGGCTTTTTGTGTTTCCTTATGTCGCTGAAAATGTTCTGCTCTGCTGACAGAGACTCAATGTCTGCATGTGAGATGCCAGGGGGCTCAGTTGTGGTTAAAACATTGTGAGAAAACTGACATTGTTTCATACAGTACTCTTTCAGCTGTAGCCCACAATGCCACGCAGAGTGCCTGGCAAAAGTATTTCTGGCACTTTGTCATATTTTGTTACGCCTCCAAGATTTAATAGATTTTATTGAGATTTTAAGGTGACTGAATATCCAAATATCCTCGTTGTGGATATTTGTGAAGTGAATGCCTTTCGTGTTTTGCAAATGAAAATGTGGGGTGCAAATTTGTTCAGGGCCTCTTAGTAAATACTTTGCAGAATCAAGATTTACAAAAGTTTCAGCTCCAAGTCTTTTGGTGTATGTTTCTATTAGTTTCCAACATTCAGAGACAAAATTCTTTAGTCATTTATTTACAAAATAGCTCATGTTTGAAAAAGCTGGATGGATAACATCTGTAAACATAAATTTTCTTGCCACATACTCTCAATTTCATTCAGGTCTGGACTTTGACTAGGCTGCCAGGTTTAGATTTAATTTGTTTAGACCTAAACCAGTCTATCTGTGGTCATATGTTTCCTGCTGGGAGATGAACCTTCTATATAATACCCTCGAAAATACCCTGAGATTTGTTGTTGAAGCATGAAAAATATGTGGAAATTTAAAGATATGACTATTTTGGCAGGGCAGTGTATGAAAGAGACCTCATGCATGATCTATTTCAAATGGCTTGTGTGTTACTGACTAGAAATTTACATGGCTATGATGTAGCTCTCATAGACCTGTATTTGCTACATGCTGTCAGATTGATGTGTAAGACATGTGCATCAATAATTTCACCATGCAGATCTTACCCTAATCCATCTGTCATGTGTCATTTCTCTCTGCCTTTAACATATGCTCTTTTTTGTTCTTTCTCTTCGTCCAAAATAGAAGACACATGCCTATTTTCACTTCCTGTTCTGCTTGAGACGTTAACCGTTTGTTTCCACTGGCTCAGATGATCATGCCTTGCAACACAGACCCGAGCCCTGATGTCCCTTGGGGCCGAAATGCAAAGAACACGGTGACAACAGACAGAGATGTTTCCTACTGCTGATAAGAAGACGCAGGAGCAAAGGTGACGGCCAGTTTATGGTGACTGAATACTCTGTAAAAGCAGAACTCCCCTGTTATATTTCACTTACAGCCGCTACGCTGTCGTCATTTTCAGTTTGGGTTTTAATTAAACAGGTTGTTCATGTCTTAATGTGTCCGCACCAATGTCCAACTATCTGCGCTGTGAACAGGCCCATCTGGACCTTGAGAGACCCAGAAGAATCTCAGAGATGGCAAAGAGAGATTACCTGGTGGAAGCTGCCAAGCAGATCCGAATGGCTTTGGACAGCGAGGTCAACGAAGACTACGAGGCGGCCTTCAGTTACTACAAGAACGGAGTGGACTTGCTGCTGAATGGAGTTCAGTGTGAGTAGACGGCATGAATCATTCAACTGGGGATAGGAATAACCGGGTTTTCACAAGGCCGGCATGTGACAATGACATAAAAAAAGAGCAGGAAGTCAGAAGGCAAATGCTAAGCACAGATTCATTTGATGGTTAAGCTTTTTCCCCCCACATAGTAAGATAGTAAGATTGTATTTTTTTTATTTGGTAACACAACATTGTTTTTCTTCAATAGTGGACCCAAACAAAGATAGGAGGGAGGCTGTGAAGAGGAAGACAACCCAGTATCTGAAGCGAGCCGAAGAAATCTTTATAACCCATTTACAGGATAACCTAGGAAAAGGAGGCACTCATTTAGGGGTAAGTTAACCATCTTGAGTAGCTTATCAACAAAGAACTTGATGATAAGCTGCAGACACTCAGAGGTACCGCAAAGCACCGCAGTACCTCTGCGTCTCATATTTCTTTAAAGTATAATGTTTGGAAACATTATATTTATGTCTACAGAAATATGTCTACAGAAAGCCGTAGACATATTTTGTTGTGTGCAATATCTTAACAGAAAATACATAGAATAAATTAAAATGAGGAAAGGCAAAATTATTTGTATAGCCTCATTCACTTACAGGGTAATTCAAAGCACAAAGCTACTTCAGTCACATGATTTTTGCATTTAAACAAGCATTTCCATTGTCCAATCAAGGCATTGCTGTCTTATCTGTGGGTTTGATTCCCAGGGCTACAGCAGTCTGAGATTTCGCCCGATCCGACACCTGAGTTCTCCCGTAGAGGATCTGGAAATGTGTAAAGTGGTGGGAATCAGTGATAAGGTAGGTGTCATTCTCTCACTGTAAACCAGTACAACAAAATAGTTTACTTAAGTACTGCGGTGTAGCTTTAAATCTTTGATTGACACCCCAGGTGGAGATGTGCAAAATAAAAAACATATTTGAGTACATTTTTGGGGAAAACAAGTCTCACATTAAATAATTATTTGTTTATGAAATTATTGGCTCCCCATGACTGGCACTCCTGTCAATTAGCAATCTTCCTTTGCCAAGCGGACAGAAGAAGCTTATTTCTGCATCTAGTCAACCTTGTCTTTTGATTTAACTGTGTTTTGGATACCAATCTGCTAAAATACTTCCTTTTGAGTGTTCTGGTAAAGGCCACCAGATTTCTTTTGTTTAGAACTGTTTGGTACTTTAGAGAGTCCTTGAAGCCATTTTGTGCAACAAGGTAACCAGAGCCTTTGGAATAGTAATAGGCCCACAGCATCAAAGGTACTCCAGCATACTTAACAGTGACGATGAAAGATCGTCCTTTGTTTCACATCAGACCCATCTAAAGTGGTTGTAACTGAAAAGCCCAAATCTGCTCTCATCTCACCATATAAAAAGCAAACCTTTATTGTTAAAGGGTAAAGGTTTGAGGATTTAAAAAACAAAAAATACCTGCCCAATTTGAATTGAAAGTTCTCTTGTTTTTCTCATTTTAAGAGTGACAGAGTAAGAACGGTCACGGCATTGGTATTCAAAGTGCCAATAAATGAAGTCATTCATTCAACAGTTATTTAATACGGAAATGAAATGTCATGTCCTTTCCACAGGGCCAAAAACTCTGAAGGAGAGTCGTAGCTCGACATAATGAAGTTTTAAATTATCCACTGCACTTAACCGTGATGCAAAAAAAAAAAAAAAATATATATATATATATTGTAATAATCTACCTGCTTTTCTGTGTAAGCTTGAGAATGTTGCATTTTTCATTCCAAAGGTCCTGATTGTGCAAAGCATGGTCAACAAAGAGATGTTTGTTGTAAAGGTAAGGATGCTCTACTGAATTAAAAGCCGATAAATGATCACATCCACTTCAATACGCCACATAAAACCTACATATTCATTTGCTAGCATCTTTCCGCTGATTATTGGACATGATGAGAGGTTTTCACCTGGCAGCAGGCCTGTTCCTGTAATCAAAGCAGTCAATGAAACTGTCTCCATCCTTTCTCCATTATCATTGCTCAGCATCAATCTGCTAGAGAGCTCTCATGATTTTAGACGGTGCAAGTGCATCTTAAATTTCAGCTAAAGTAATAGTTACAGTGCCCTACAAAAGTATTAATACGTTTGTCATTTTCCGTCTTTTCATATAACCAAAACCTTCAGAGTATTTCACTAAATGTTTCATGTGACAGACCAACACAAAGCTGTGCATAATTGTGAGGTGGAAGGAAAATAACACATGGTTTCAATGTTTTTTTTTTGTTTGTTTTGTTTTTACAATTATTGATCTGGAAAGCATGACCTAACATTTGTATTGAACCTTTTTGCGCTCCTTCCTCTTTAGCGTAACCGATTGCCTTCAGAAGTCACTTAAATATTAAAAAGACTCCACCTGTGTGTAATTTAAACTCAGTAGAACTACAGCTGTTCTGTGAAGACTTCAGAGGTAAAGTTAGAAACAAAGTCCAATCTGTGGCAAAAGTTGACTTTTAAACTTTTTGTTGATAAAAGGTTGTAATGTAACACAATGTGAAAAAGCTCAAGTGATTTTAATATCTTGACAAGACGCTGGTGTCAGACACTTCCAAAGGGATGAGCCAGAACGTATCTCAGAGTAATTGTCTAAATAAATCATTACATGTGTGTGCTTTCACAGAGCCTAGTCAAATCGAGCTGGGAGAGCAGAGACCAAACAACCATTATTCCTCAAGGTGTGCCCTACATGGTGAAGCTGCTACGGTATTATGTCAGTGAGGATGCCGTGTACCTGCATCTGGAGCATGTCAAGGGTAAAGTGGCTACGTCTGGCCCTGTATTTCTTACAAGAAACATCAAAAACATAGAGGAAAACTTTCTGTCTTTTCCTAGGTGGGAGGCTTTTCTCTAAGTTGCACAAACTTAGAAATGAGAAAGCCAGGGAACACCCGGACCCGTGCTTCACCTCTGGGCAGCACAACGTCAAGCTGAAGACAAGCCACACCTCACCTGAAATCAGCAGAGACTACCAGCACAACGGCAGGAGCACAGCAGCAGCGATTCCTCACAAACTGACCGACGAGAGTCCGGATACAGACTTCCCAAACTCATGGGACGAGACTCAGCAGCGGCTGGACAGCTGCGGGACTCACTCTTACATAGAGGAGACCGGTTGTCTCCAGAACACCCGATCGGCCGCGTCGTTTTACACCAAGCTGGATCAGCAGACGCTGCTCTCCGGCCTCACAAGGACACAGGTCAACACCCACATCCATCCACCAGCCCCTAGTTTGTGTTTGCATTCCAACGAAGCTCAGGAAAAGCCAGCTCTTCCTCTCTCTTGTGCCCGTGTCAGCCAAGCTCTCGATGTCATGTCAGATCTCCATAAAAAGAAAGCCGGGATGGGACTCGTAGAGTGCAGTCGAGACTTTGAGGCAGCCTGGAAAGCTGCAGACCCAACACACAGCTATAACAAAACCAACCTCTATGCAGTGACTGGCAATAATTTGCAAAGAGCAACACCTCAGACAAATCAGATCTCGTTTAAAAGAACAGGACCTCCTAAAAGTCAAAGAGACGCGTTGAGTTCCTCTCCTGCCATTCTGCATCTCCCTCTCCATTGCCAAACCCAAATCCGTGGCAGGGCATCATGGGAAACTAATGGCTCTCATCAGGGATCTTTTGTTGCTGGAAGTTCTGAAGAGATAAATGCAGAGTCAAAGCAAGAAAGCAGTCCCATTGTAGAAGAAAGAAATGGAATGATAGTCATCAGGAGTACAGACAGAGCAGTATTTTCTGACCATGCGGACACAACCATCATCTCGGAAAGTTCTCGTGATTTTCCTGCTTCTCTTTTCCACGGAAGCGTTAATGCACAGGTGAAGTCATCAGGAGTATGTCAAAAAAGAGAAAATTGTCCCACATGTGAAAAACAGGGTACAGACGTGGCGTGTGAGGTACTGAGTCCTGGAGCGAAGAACCTAAAAGCGGAATCATATGTAAGCTGGTTCTCTCCCGACCCACTGGGAGCCACATCCCACAGCGACAGAAAGAACACGGAGGGACCAGAGAGGCACGAAGAAGACCAGATCATCGAGGTGGACGGCTGGTGTCACCTGCCACGCTTTCCTGCCACGACCTCCAGGCCTGCAGAGAAGGCCTTGCAGAGCAACTGGGGGATTCCAGAAGGGGAGGTGCGTGTGTGGGGGGCGCAGATTCTGTTGGCCCTGGAGAGTCTGCACGAGCAAGGCGTCTTGTGTCGGGATCTCAACCCGAGGAACATTTTGCTCACCAGCAACGGTAAGACCAACAAGTCTTCACACCCCTGTCAAATGATCAGGTTTAAGTGATGTAAAAAATGAGACCCAGATAAATTATTTCAGAACTTTTCCCTAACTTTAATGTGACCTTTGAAATGTGCAACACAGTTGAACAGCAAACTGTGTGCATACTTGAACTAATATTTTTGGTGAAGCCCGTGTTGATATTTTTTGTTTGCCCACTCTTGTTTACAAAAACACTTTAAACTCACACCAGTCTTGAATATCTTGCCACAGATATTAAATCAAAAACGGGTTTGATCTCTGGGTGGGAGATTGGAAAACTTTAATCTCCAGTTCTTGGTTTTTCAATTAAATTCCTACAATTATAGGACACATTAAACAAGGAAAACATATCTGAGAAGTAATCACCTGAGTCTCACTGTTTACATCCCAATAATGTGGCGCTATAACAGGGGTGCGTAAACTTGAATGTCCGCTTCAAGTCTGCACAAAATGAAATGTGAAGTTTAATTAAGTGACGTGTTTTCACAGGAAAGGTGTGTTTGACGTTTTTCAGCCAGTGGAGTGAGGTTCAGTCAGAGATTAGCTCCAAAGCCATGGAGCAGATGTACTGTGCTCCAGGTAAACACACACATCACCTCAAGCTCCAGGCTCCTTAGTCTTATCTGCCATCTAGTGGCAACAAGCCGGTGGTACCGGAGATTTCTGAAGGAATGTTAAACATGGGCTTAACTAAACCCAGCTCAATGTGCGTTCCTAGAAATCGGAGGAGTGTCGAGGATTACAGAGGCTTGTGACTGGTGGAGTCTCGGGGCATTGCTCTTTGAACTTCTAACAGGAATGGTGAGATGAACGCAATAAAAGCAGTGAAACTGGTTTCCCTAGCAGTTCCACATGTTGTGATGAAGCTAAAGATCTTTCCTGCTCCTCCAGCCCCTTTGGCAGCTCCATCCAGCAGGAATCCATTCCCACACCCAGCTGCTCATCCCCGACCACCTAAGTGCTGCGGCTGCATCCCTGCTCACTGAGGTTAGAGGTCACAGTGCCTTACAAAAGTATTCACACCCACCACAAACATTAATCTAAGTAGATTTTAGCTTTGAACATTTAGGGACATAAATGTTTGATCACATTTTTCACAAATTTTAAAGTCTTGCCATAGATTCAGATCTGGATTTGACTAGACCATTCCAACATAAATATGCTTTCATCAAAACCATTTTTAACTCTGACTGTATGTTTGGTGTTGTCTGTCCCAGTTCAAAATGCTGCACCAGCTCTAATGTTATCTTCAACCTTCCAGCTCAGAGCTTAAGTTTAAACTACATGAACAGTTTTGTAAGGTTCTACAAAAAAAAACAAACAAACAAAAAAAAAAACTAGAGAGTGTAACTGACTTTTTTTTCTCTCTATAGCTGCTTCAGTTTGATGCAGGTTATCGTTTGGGTTCTGGAGGTGGAGGAGTAAGCGACATCAAATGCCACCCCTTCTTCAGCGGAGTCTCCTGGAAAGCTCTGTCCTGCTAGCAGACCTCCCATTGTTTGTGCCATACTGGACTTACAAAAAAAAAAAAAAAAAACAGATCAGCTGGATTGAAACATCCTGCAATTTTACAGGAGCTTCCCAAAGAAACGGTTGAACAAAGGTTGGGGATACCCAGTGCCTTGCAAAAGTATTCATACCCTTTGACTTTTGTCACATTACAAACATTGTTTTACTGGAATTTTATGTGGGAGAGTGACACAAAGTAGCACGGTTTCCAAAACAATTACAAGATTTTAATCTTTGAATATGAAGTGCACTGATGTTTATCTCCCTGAAGTGAACCATCTTTATTCTATAAACATATGGAAAATAGGCTTTGATCAAAACCAGGAGGACCTGGGTCCAGTCTTCCAAGAGCTACTATCAGGAAAACTTTTATGCCATTAACGTTTTCAACAAAAACCTAAATCAAAAGATTTAGTTCCCTCAACATCTCATTTAGCTCTGCACAGGCTTGGTAGCAAAGTATGTATTTGATTCAGGTGTGTTGGGGAAGGGATTTACCTAAAATATGCCTTGTAGTAATTGTCAAGGACCGGACTTGGCGCCCCTGATCTGAACCACCCCATTGCGGCTCCGGATCTGTTTACTGTTGTCCTGATGAAAGGTGAACACTCACACCAATCTGAAATGTTTTACCCCTCTAACAGGTTTTCTTCCAGAATGATCCTGTGTTTAGCTGCATCGGTCTTCCCATTAACTCTGACCAGTTCCTCAGTCCAAGAGAAAGAAAAGCATCACTACAGCATGATGCTGCCACTACCATGAGGGGAAAAAAGTTTCTTCTACCGACCACATCTCTGCTAACCACTTAACCGTGTTCGTTTTTCTCATTTTGGTTGTAATGTGGGAAAATGTGAAAAATATTATGCTTTTCCAAGGCACTGTGTTCCTTAAATGCACAGATTTACTTTTATCCCATGGGAACTCGGATGTGTTTTAATGCAATTTTGATAATTAGGTTTTACATATCTTCATAATCACCATGCATGTGAATAAAATCCCTTTTAAATCAAAATTGTGGATGGATTTTAATCATTGTTGACAGGAAAATAACTTATTGTAACAATGAAAGAAGCCATCACAGGATAAAGCAATCTGTCTTTTGTTTTTGATTCAAGAGAACTAGATAAAAATCTAACTGGAATTTAAATGCTAATATCCACATTAAGATTATTTTTGTGGTTTTAAACATTTTTCTCAGTTGCTGGAGAGAAAGCAGTCAAAACATTTGATTCCAGTTTTACAAACTTATCAATTTGTTCAGTTTTCTTTTTTTTTTTTTTTTTCCAAATAGTTGTCAATCACTATTTTCCAACATAGAATCAGCTTAAGTATCAATATTTTTTTTAGGAAGTGATTTGTTAAACTGAGCGATTGCAGATTTGAATTAGCTTTAAGCTACAATCATGGTACATTAAATAACATTCATGTTTTGAGCTGCACATTTTCCTTTCTTTAACTATTATCAGCATAATGGGACATACCTGGAAACACTTGCAAAACCTTCAAACCGTCAGAGCTCGTCAAACAAGTTAAAGTCTGAGCACTATTGGAGGAATTGACACCATTTTAAAGCACAATACCCCATTTTTATTATTTTTTTTTTCTTTTGTTATTTGTAGTTCATGTCCACAGATTAAACATTCAACAATTATCCACAAAAACCATCCAGCAGAAAACCAGCAGTGGGGTAATGAAGTTTTTATTGTTTAAAACTTTCCTTTTCTCTTAAATAGTCTATGTCACACAGCAAAAAGAGAATTTCATGGACTAGACGGCATAAAACCTCTGAGGATTCCTTCACTTTGGAGATTTTTAAAACATAGTGTTCCTTGTTTTCTAGCCCAATATGTGCTCATTGTTCATCTCTCAACCACAATAATAAAATTCTATGCAGTTGCACCTTTACTTGCCTGTCATCTCACAACAACTGGATTTTATTAAATTCTGTGTAGAAAATGACATTTGGCAAACAAGTTATAGAATATTTATTTTTTGTTTCTTTGATCAAGAGACCAGCACCTGAAACCGCAGAGCCCAGTGCCAAACCGTGCAGCCCAGCTGGTCTTACAAATGTCCATTCACAATTGAACTTTTCAAAACAAACCTTTTTTTCCCCTAGTTAACCAAGACAACAATACATTAACTGCAGTTATGGTAAAGTTTTTTTTTTTTTTTTTTTTTTAAACGTGTGTACAGCCGCTGTTGGCGTGGGGTTGGTTTAGTGGGCCCAGAGTTGACAGAGGCTCACATGTCGAGGAGGAGCACCCTGGGGTCCTCCACCACAGACTTGATCTTACGCAGGAAAGTGACGGCCTCTCTTCCATCGATGAGACGATGATCGTACGTCAAAGCGACATACATCATGGGACGGATCTCCACCTACGCAAAAGAATACATACATTTTGGAGTCTTTTTTTCAGTTCCGTCAATACAAATCTGAGAAATTTTAGTTTTAAATTGGTGCCACTGGAATTAGATGCACCAAACAAAGACTTTGTGGATGATTTTTGGTTTCTGATTTAAAAAAAAAAAAAAAAAAAAAAATCTGACAAAAGACAGATTTCCGATTACAATCAGACAGATTTCTGATTTTAGACAGAAATCTATCTGATTCTAAGATTCAGATTTCACTTCAGGAACCATGAATACTACATTTGTTTTTGAAGATTTGGTGAAATTAAATTTGTTTTATTTCATCCCATTTTAATCATATCTAACTGCGTAGCTTTCAGCTAAAGCGATCAAACTCAAACCACTCAAAATCAAGAATTACAGTAAAACTCATTTACATGAAGATGTTACAGTCTATCGCCATCATTGTAGAGAAAATGTGAAATAGAAAGATTATTTCTTTGGAGATGCATTTACATCTGAACTGAGGGGAGTCTGAAAACATTTTGGGTGCCAAGTCTTTATATGCTAATATATAAATGAAAAGGCTTCATTTTTATTTATTCCTGACTTAAAAGTGCAAATCTTTAGTAACATTTAGGTGTGATATAAATGTGAAAATATAACTAATTTTATGGGGGTGTGGAGGGGATTAGTATTAATTCAAAGGGGAGGTGGGAGGAGCTAAATGTTACACAGCTCTGCAGTTCATAAGGACTTCACCATTATTATAAAGCAAAGAAATTGTGACTGCACACTTCACAATGCAACTTCAGCAACTAACGATTTGTATTTAGAATCTAATATCGGCTTTATGCATGAAGAGCAGGGTTAGAATTACAAACTGAAACTTATAACTAAAAAATATATCAAAAATGTATCATTATCACAATACTGCAGCATGCAGTATGTGGATTACGAACAATTGCCTGGACTGCAATAAATTAAGGCTGTCTGTAATATATTTTGGAACATTTGCTGTTTATTTCATTGCTGTTTACTTATTTATCATAAGTCAAAAACCTGGCCTGGACTGTAAAATACTTTGGTCAACTGATGCCTTTAAATATGCTATGTAAATAAATTTGACACTGACTTATATGGTTATCACAACTTTCACCCATTTTATCGCACAATATGGTGCAGCCCTACTGGAAACAGCGGTCCCTGTGAGTGAGCTAAACCTCAGCTCTGACATCACCAAAAGCCTCAACATTTCTCTATTCCAGTGGTCCTTAGTTATTCTGTTATGCACCTAATTGTCACAACAAATTTCATAAAATGAGCTGCAGCAACTTAGGTTTTAAGTTGTTGCTTCTTTTACTATTTGAAGTCTTGCAAATTGGGTTAAACTGAATTTGAAAATTGTTGTAACATTTATTCAAGTCTGCTCAGTCTGTTTTTATTAGATAAACTGAGACACTGGGCTTAATGATTTTTTTTAATTGTAAACATTGGTTTCCTTATTCTGTTTCAAAAAGACAGCATGTTTACTTTGAGCACTGCTGCCACCTAGTGACAGGAAGATTGTTTATCATTCTAACATGAATAAAAAGAACTATTGGAGGGGGCAAAAAAAAGTCTTCTTCCTATTTGAGAAATACAGCCTCAGTAAATCACGATCAACAGAATCAGATAAAACAGAGAAACTTTGCTGTGATATAGTCATCTTCTGTCATTTGCTGTGAAGCTCAGATTTAGTTTTTAAAATTAGTTACTTAAGGAAAACCTAATAAGCCTCTGCAGACAATACAATTTAAACCTTAGTTTTACTGAAAATGGCCAGCTAACTCTTTGTCTCAGCAATGATTTCCATGCCAAGTTGAAGGGCTATTTGCATGACCTGCGTGTGGTGTGGCACATTTCTAGCCGTCGATCAAGTGTGAAATTAGCCAACTTTGCGGTGCATTAACAGGAATTTAAATACCAACCTTTCCACCTACTGCAACAGGCCTATCAAAGATGCCATGCATGCCCAGAATAGCAGACTGAGGTGGGTTGATTATAGGTGTGCCGAACAAGGACCCAAACACACCACCGTTGCTGATGGTGAAGGTGCCTCCATCCATGTCTTCTACAGCTAGTTCGTTTTTACGCGCCTGTGAATGTAGGATTTAAAAAATAAAAAACGAATAAATTAAATAAAACATCAAAAGTGAGTCAGAAAACTGCTTAATAACAAAGTGATACGAAATCGTACCTTTTCTCCCAACAAATTGATTGCTTTCTCAATATCAGCAAAGTTCATTTCCTCCACATTTCGTATTACAGGAACCACCAATCCCTGACAAAAAAAAATATAGTACACCTTTTACTTCTGAAGCAAACATTTTAATACAATAAACTCCACTTCTCTTACCTTTGGTGTTGCTACTGCAACACTGATGTCAACATAGTCCCTGTATACGATCTCTTTGGTTGTGTCATCAATCACTGGAAACACAAATAACATGAATGTTACAGAAATCTCTTGTCCAGGATAAATTACAAGTTCTCGCTTCAGTTCCATCAAGGCAAAGCTATTTTCTTGTAAACCACTCGCTCTCACATGCAAGTCAAAAGTTGTGGGTAATCAACGCCGCAGACCATTATAGATCTTTAAAAGGCAGCAACACGTCCCACCCTAGTTTCACTGTGGTCTATCTAAATAGGTCAGGGTAGTCTAGGGGAAGAAAATAAGTTAGGAGTTGGTTTTGAGGTCGGGCAATGAAACTTAAATCTTTTTCTTCACCACACACACACTTGGCCCGCCTTGAAGCCAAACGTGCAAAGACAGAGTGAAACATCCACCACAACGTTTAGGTTTCCTAGTCTTGAAAGGTTTAATTTTGTACCTGCGTTGACAGCAGGTTGGTCAACTAGAGCGTAGGCGGCAGCCTTCACAAACGCAGACATGAAGCCCAGCTTGATGTTGTGTTTTTTCAGAAAAGCATCTTTGTAAGCCTTCCTCATCTCGCTGATGTTACTGCGGAAATAAAGCAGAAGTCACAGTGAAACACGGCATTAAGACAACGATGAAGCCTGAAAAGGAACGGAGTCTTTGCAAATATGTGAATAAAAGTGGGAATGAAATCTTAAAAAGTATAAATGTTCACGTAAATATTTTACATGTGAAGATAAAAGTGCATCTGAAAACATGATATTGCATAAAAAAAGCTATTTTATTTAAATAATTAAATTCAAAAAGTGTAATTGGACTACTGTATTAGTTCTTAACAGAAATTTTCCATTCTGGCCAAGTTATGCCTGTATTCAAAATGGAAAGTTAAGTGGAAGGAAAACAATGTGATATTTCCACAGTTTGTGATTATTTGTGGAGACCTATGTCTGGGGAAAGATGAGCAATACTAGATGAGCTAAAACCTACAAACCTTCCTTAAGTTGCCTGTCTACCACGCCTCAATGAGGAAAGAATGCAGAAGGAAAGAATCGGTGCATAAACTGCAGAGGATCTGAACTTACTTTCAATAGGCTGACATTTCTGAATTAAAAGTCTTGATTTTTAATTGGTAATATGTAATATTCTAAATTTCAGATAGCTTGATGTTGTTTTTACATTACCTTTACCTCATAATCAATAAATAACAGCAGTAAAAGCATAGAACACAGCTGAAAGCAGATGTTTACATAAAACTAATAATTTATTATATATTTTTCAGTTTCAAGTTAAATCAGACCAAAACTTGCATGGACTCTGTTGTTTTAGAACAGAGTCAATAATTCAGTTAGAATTACAAAAGTTATTTGCATTTGTTCAATACCACAGTAATGATGTTTTCAGTTTCTTTCCACATGCCTCTCATGACAGTTTGCTGCAGTTCTGGCCCATTCCTCCTGACACAACTGGAGGAACCGAGTCACGTTTGAAGACTGCTTCGCTCCCACATTCATTTTCAGATTTACCCACAACTTCTCCATAGAACTGAGATCAGGACTTTGCGATGGCCTCGTCCTTAAGCCATTTGTAAGTAGTTTGGCTATTTGCTTTGGGTTATTGACCGTTTGGACAAATCATTTCCGCCCAAGATATAACTTCCTGGCTGATGTTTTCAGATGTTGCTTCAATATTTCCACATAATGCCATCCATTTTATGAAGTGTGCCAGCATCTCCTACAGCAAAACAGCCCCACAAAATAATGCTGGCTCTCCTATGCATCACAGCTGGGCTTACATAAGTCCCCCTTTTTCCACCAGATATAATGATGGTCATTACAACCAAACAGTTTCATATTAATTTCATCAGTGTGATGGTTGGACTTTCTAACTGAACAGATGAAAACTGCACAGTCAAGAATCTGGACATTGTACCCAAGGATGAATCAGACTGGCAAAGCTCCACAGTTCTCTTCCTTATGCCTTTGCTGATTAATTTTCTTTGACTTTCCCATCATGTCAAGCAATAAAGCAGTGTGTTCCAGGTGTGGCATTAGGAGTGAAATCGCTTTGGAGTCCTCTAGACTAGATGGAGAGCTATGCAAGTACAAACCATTCACCACTTCTGATTTTGATGACAAATCTGACATATTCTCTCATCATTGTGGCATGTAGCTAATAGAAATAATTTAGGTAATTCTAACTAACCTAAAACAAGTAACTTCGGTCTGATTACAGTTCAGATGATGAGGAAAAATCTGTATGTCTTTATTCAGTTTGTGGAAACTTCTAGTTTCAATTGTATATGACCTTCTTTCTAATCAATCTAAATGAGGTTCACTTATTCAAATTAAATGTTGATGTTAACTTTTTCCCTAAATAACAATGGATGTTTAAAGCTCTTAAAATAATTTGGCAATACATTTAAGTATTAAATCTGGACAAAGGTTCTATTTTTTGATAATGGTGCTGAAGAGAGTGAGGTATACATCTATTGAAGTTGTTCTACTAATTGTTTCTGTATTGCTCATTTTTCTCTTGTATCTCTCTTTTTAATTGTTTGTTTTCCTGTCTCTAACCCTGTTGTAGCTCTAGGGTTTCTCCGCTAACATAATTAGCCCCTCCCAAGACACAGACTCTCCGAGAAAGGAGAGAAGAAGCGATAAAAATCTTCACTTTCTAGAGCCTGTAAATCTTATTGGGCTGTCATAAAAGCCCATATCAGTGCAGGCAGCTCTTCCACTCAGAGCGCAGGTCTCTGCGGGCCTCTGCAGATGCTCCCGCCTCCTGTTCTGGCCAGTTCCTTCGGCTCCAGATGAGCCCAGGACTGGGAAGTCTTCCTCCAGACCGTCAATGTCAATCCAATTAGGATACACAGAAAACCCTGAATAGCCGAAAGCCGACACCACACATTTGCGGGGAGAAAGAAATCCTCAAAGTGTCCTCTTCAGCATGGGGGGCAAGTGCAGACACTAACGCTTCCTTGTAAATTAATAAAACCTGTTTTAACAATTCTTATCTTCGTTTTAGATGAAATTATGACCAAATATTTACATTCCAGTGTTTAAGAGGATATTGGGTTTCAAAAAGCTTTTTTTATTGGGCAGATTCCAATCTATAACCATTTGTGGAAGTGTTGTTGTGCCTTTTAACAGGGGTGCATGCAAACGGCACTTAGACAGGAAGTCTGAATAAATACAAATGACCAAAAAGTAGATTTGCACAGAAACCAGGATGTGTGAATATTTAAAGATTTAAAATTTGACTTTTTCCAATCAGTACTCGGAAGGCAGCAGAGTGCATTTCACATATAATCCAAAATAGCTTTGAGGGTTAAATAATGTAGGTCAACTAATTGAGAATTTCCTACCTCATATCGACCTCATTAAACGTAGTCAACATAGCACAGGTGTTTTGAGCTTCCTTCAGCCTCTGGGCAATTCTTAGTCTCATGCGGTTCATCTTAACCTACAAAAAGAAAGAAACACCACAGAAAACATTTTTTTTATAGAAAACATCATTAACCTAAAAGATTTCATATAAAATAAAATATCAAGGTGCTCTTTACTCTGCTTTCTGTCCTTGCTGCTTTAACTCCTCCCTCTGCGTGGGCTGCTGGCGCAGCTGGAGCAGCAGTGGGTTTGATGGCTGAAACTTCAAGACAAGAAAAACAATGAAGCAGTCAGCACCTCCAGACGTAGATGGCAAAAAAAGACGCTGACCAAAACGATGCAAAGCAATTAGTTGTGTAAGCTGGAGGACACAAACGCAGATGTCGGGCAAATGAGTTCTCACATGACACGGACCGTCTGTCCCATGACAACTAACCTGGTTTGGTGTCCATAGCATGTGCTGGCACAGGTGGCACGGGGGGCATGGTGGTGGGAATGGGCCCCACGGTGGAGGGAGGAGGTGGGGGAGTTGGAGCAGCAGAAGGTGGTGGAGGGTCCGCAGCAGCTTTTGGAGATTCTGTAGCCTGAGCAGCCCCAGCTAAAGGGGCACAAAGAAAAAGTGAAGGCAGATGCTATAAGATGGTTCCTGCATGTTTCAAACAACAAAAAACATACATAGGAAAAAAAGAAAAAAAAAAGTGGATTAAATTTATGGTGTTTTTTAAGATCCATGTTTACATTTATGCCCTACAACAAATGTAATTTAGCACCCAAGTTACGTTAACCTTAAGGTGTATACCACTATGTCAATTTAATTGGTTTTCAGTTAAGTTTAAGATTCTTTGTACAATTCGTAACAATTATGATATGGGCCGGTTCCAGGTTTCACTGAAGACCCTGGATTTAAAGCTGGCCCCTCCCTCACTTGTTGCTGATTACTGTTATTCACCAGGCAGAACAAAGAATACTAAATAGAGATGTGCCGATCAGGTTTTTTCCTGCCGATTCTGATCACCCATGAGGGCCGATCACCGATACNTTTTTAATTTTTTTTTGCAAAAAATTTTTTACTTTTGTATAATAAAAAAAAAAAAAAAAAAAAAAAAAAGTTGACCACGGAAGATTTTTTTTATTTTTATTTTTCAAACCACTCCAGGATAAAACACTGCTCTTATTCTTTGGAGCAGATAGTTGGAAATAATCATGCAATATGTGTGACCTCAAAAAGTAAGACCCATGCAGTCCTTGAATTTTAAAATGCTTTCACATTTTTCTTTTCTACGGATGCCTGCTGTTGGATCCAGCACCAAAGTCATTTATTCTGTACAGAACAAAGAGAAAGAAAAAAGTCTTTCAGAAACCTTCAAAATCTTTAAAAAGATGTGAAAGCAATGGCACGCTTAAAAGAAAAAAGAGACATTCACTTTAACATCAGACAGTGATTTCAGGGTGGGTAAAGTGCCATCTCAACTTCCAGAAACAGAAAGGAGAAAAAAAAAAATACTACACTTACTCGGTCTTGACAGTTTGTGGCAAATCATCGTTCCACTTTTACGGATAACTGACAGTGGTGATTTTAAAATCCACACAAGTCCACAAGTTGGGTTAGAAACGGCTCTGCTTCGTATGAAGAGAATAAAAAGCAAATCTTCAGCACTGCAGTATTCCTTTAGAGGTTTTCTCTTGTAAAAAATTGATTCACTTACCAAAGAGTTCACAAAGGTCTTTATAAAGGTTTCTTTATCCGTAGAAAATATCATCAAGTGAGCAATTAAAGGATAAACTCTAATCTCTGAGTCATTTCATCGCTGTACCTCAGGATTAAGATGTTTCGCATTTTTTTGGCCCACCAAAACATTTGACGCCAGCTTTCTTTTGTTTTCTTGTTATTTCACATTCCGGGAAGGTCTTTTTGTTTTTTAACTGCATTGTTTCACTCTGAGTTATGTTGACGGAACACTTTTAATATTTCAAGGCTGAAACATCTTTGATGTTGTAAGACACAGAGGCTGACAATTCCAGTGGAGCTCAATGTAAGTCCCAGTTATGTCAGCAAATGTTACTAATCCCCCTGCATTCTTTGCATCCTTGTACGGCAGCTTGTCATGTCTCACAGACGGATTCTTTGTTTTCTGCATCTAGCTATAAGGTTTATCTGTCAAGCGCAAGCCATTAAGCTGTGCCCATTTTTACTTACTTGGAGGACAGATTGTTTTTTAATGGGTTTTTTTTTTCTCTGTGCTTGTATGAAGTCATTCAGTTTGAAATGATTTAATCTCGAGATAAACTGTTAAAATTTGATTTCTAGTAAGAAATCAACACATTCCTGCACTGTTATTTTGAAAGCGGGAAAAAAAAAACTTTTCAGCTCTTAGCACATGATTGTAAAAGATGCCAAAATTATGCATTTATTCATAGCAATGTGTTTTCTTTTTCTGTTTTGAGATTGCGTATGACTTCTTCACAGCAAGAGGTTTTGTGCTTTTTTTAAAGTTTAAATATTTGCTGCGAAGCTAACATTGGTGTGGTGTAAAATTTCTACCAGACATCAAATACTGAAGTTCACCAACAAAACAATTAAATCATGCATGTAACCATAATCTGGCTTTATTTTTTTTAAAGCAGTCTTAGAATAACCCCAGTCATTGAAAAAACCCTTTTGTAAAATGACTGTTTTCCTTTCTGAATTTTCCTTAAAACGCATAACTGGTGAAATGTGTCCTTGTATTAGTCTAGCTCTTAGATGTTTTTACCAAAGAAAATGCTCCTTTCACTTCATTATTTAGAGATGAGATGATGGATGCAGTTGTGATATATATTTTTCCAATCTGAATAAAATCCTGAAAACACATTAGAATCTCTGTCCGATCTTCAACTGTATTCTGCCTCAGATCTGAGCAAATAGATGTCATTGTCTTATTTATGCTGAGTAGTGTGGCATGGACCAGTATGACACTGACTCACTGCAGCATTCCTGGGTCCCCTTCAGTTGTAAGTCTACAGGAAGTTATGGTAAGGTTAAGGTGGAGCTACTGGCATCACACACAACCCAGTGATTGTAGGATAGAAAGACAACATTGCTTGCGACAAACACAAGACCAATTCAATAACCTTGAATAAACCCAATTCGGAATACTATACAATGTGCTAAAAGTTCACCGTACCTGCATAAACTTTGGAACAAGGTACTCTAGTCAGAAGAGATATGAATGGCTTTCATGCAAAACTATGGAGTGAAAATAGTCTCAAAATACCTGTGCCCGTGTAAAAATGTCTGTGAGTGTGTAATGCTCAATTTGTAACTCATGTAAGCATCTTTGTGTGTAACTTTGGATAGTTGTATCTGTGAAGCATAATTTGTAAACCGTAAAAAGAAAATTTGTGCGTAACTCCGGGTACTTGTAAATATGTATACACAAATATTAAGAAATTACAAATACAAAATAAAAATTATACACACAATTACAATTTCTACAAACGTTAAAATTTCTACATTTTTTTTTTTTTTACTACAACCTCACAAATCTGCTAATTGCGTATACAAACTTTCTCCTACGCCTACAAATGTTAAATAAGTACACGAGTTGCCAGATACACACACAAACACACACACACACACACAAAACTGCATTTACGCACAGATCCGGTTACGAGTGGACGAGTATTTTTGAGACTCATTTCACGCTTCCGGCCAGTCTCAGTTTTGTTCGTAAGTGGTGCGTTTAAATGCTGGTGGAAAGCTGGGTCATCTGATTTGCGCTCGGACTCTAGTGTTTTTCATCCTCTGAACGTTTGTCATTGTGCTTGTGCCGAAGTGGCACATTTCTGTGGAAAACGGAATATCTCAGCACGTCTTTATAATATTCCAAAATTATTTATAGACATATTGGGCATTTTTGAGGGGTACAGATGAGACTACGTGGTCTGAAAAGCGACCACTGGGTGGCGGAATGGTTCGCTGGATGGAAGAAACAGTCTATGGAAAAAAACAAACAGGCAAACCAAGAACAAGACGGAGCGTCCCGGTGGTCTGCCCTCAGAAGTAAGTAGAAGCTAAACCTGCACGCTTTGCTTTCCGATTATAATGAGACATCGAATAATTATAAATAATTTCAGATTACGTTTTATATTTTTGGTAGTTTGATACTCTGCCCTCCGTTTCTGATAGCGGGAGCTAATATCTATGTGAGCTATGGTACATTAGCTGTTCGTAGCTACATAAGTCCGTTAGTGTCAGACTCAGCACTAACAAAACACTAACACTACACAGCACATTAAGTGGTAAAATATGGTGGTTGTAGAGTCATGCTGTCATGATGTTTCTCTTCAAAGACTTTAGTCATAATTGGAGGATCACCTTAGCTGGACAACAACCTCAAACATGAAGACCAACTCACGATGGAAGGGTTTAAGTTAAAGATGAGTTATCTGCAATAGGCCCAGTCAAAGTCCAGACCTAAAGCTCATTTAGAGTCCAAGGTGGTTTCCCTGCGACCTGATTATTTTGCAAAGAATTAAAGACAAAATAATACCTCAGCTTGATGGTATATGGATAACTCAAAAAACTTGCTGCTGCAGTTGAAATAAAGCTAAATACAAAAATACCCAACTTTTGAAAAAAAAAATGCTGACTATCATTTTATAGTTATTTCATAAAATTCCAATAACATGCAATGAAGTCAACATGAGGTATGCCTTTTCCAATGTGCAATAAATCAATTACAAAAATCAATATTAAACAAAAATCAATAGTAATTGCTTAAAAATTTACAACTAGCCTCTGACACCACTTTAAGTGTTTTGTTTCATCCCATTGACTATTTTGCTTGTTCAATCTGTGAACAAGACTAACATGAACCAAAATCTTTCTCCAGAGAAGATTTAAACCTTAGACCAGAAGTTTCAATCTCTTCCAAGTGGTGAGGTACATTTCTAAGCAGGTTTGAGGTTCTCAAACAGACTTTTTCCAATTTCTCATTGTTAGACTTGGCCTCAAGGCATTGATTGAACTTGTTGGTTCAATAGATACCAAGAAAGTGAGGGACTTAAATGGCATGCCTCTGGTCGGTTTGGATGTAGCCTGTAAGCCTAATTGTAGATCTAAAACACTAAAGAAACAAATAAAATGGTTGTCTTCCTAGTATACCTACAGGACTGTTGAGGTTTATCTAAAACCTCCATCAACTTGAATTAAGAAATTCCCCAAAGTCAAACTTTCTATTGCATATCCTGCAAGATCTGTGGGCTTTCAGAGGAACTCAAGTTTTGAGCCAATAACTTCTTCAAAGTTTTGAAATTTGACAGTAAAAATTTCACATCAAAAAACTTTATGCAGCAAATTCGACCTTTTTAACTCTGTAAAAAAAAAAAAAAGACTCATTAGAGCGCAGAGCAGCTGCATTGAACTGCAAATATCTTAAAATATTTAATGGGGGGTTTGTGAGGGTTGCTGATAGCAGAGATGATAACGGATAAAAGAATGAGATGGACTGGTACTGACTGAGTGAGCCCATTTTCAGTGAAAGTGTGAAACTAATGATTCAATGGAAATGCTTTAATAAGTCACATTACACCAGAGCCCAGCAAGTGTGATTGCAAAAAGCTTTGCCACAATCTCTGATAATTTCCCTCAGAGACGTTATCCCAGGCAGGCAGAGGCAATCTCAGTGGCTTTGGCTTTGATCCGATTATTGTCTCCTGTTCTCCAGAGTGAGGCCATTAGTTACACAATTACAGAGAGTTATATTCAAGAACGATTTAGCCAGGTTTTTTTTTTCTCCTCATTTCTTTCAAAATGCCTACACAGTAACAGCCAATGAGGCAATATATCAGCTGAGGTCATTCTCCATTCGTGTGTATGACACTAATGGCATTAACTCACACCTTGAAAACAACCACGGCAGCTTTATGTTTCTGTTTTATTAAAGGAGCTTTCATAAATCCCCACCCTGGAATAACAAATTACATCCAAACAAGCAGCACACATTTACTGTATTGATCAGCGAGTAAAAACAAATGAAGAATGATTTCAATACTGTGTCAAAGATGCAACAGTGATTTAGCTACTGTGTAAATTTTGTATAACTAGAGATGTGCTGATCAGGTTTTTTCCTGCCGATTCCGATCACCCATGAGGGCCGATCACCGATACCGATCACATAATTATTATTTTTTTAATCATAAGCACTACCGGTTACATTATGTGGAAAAAGGAACCATGAATTCACCTTAATTTAGACAAAAACTTGTTTTTAATCACTTTTTTCAAGAAAAAAAACAAAACAGGCATTGTGCAAATTGTACTGCTATCTGTAATACTATCTTTAACAGATTGAAAACATATGTAGGCTCTGAAGAGGCTAAATAATGCAGAAAGTCAAAAAACAAAAACAAAAAAAAACTGTCAACTTTGCCAAAAAATTCAAGTATAAAACTTTACATTCAAAGGCAAA